TGCGTCGAGTCGAACATGTCCGTCTGCATGGTGTATAGCATAAAAGTCCACCTCGACAGCCTCCTTCGGATCATCTGTATCCGTCCTACGGATACACCTACCCCTCCACCCACCAACCAGCGAAACCAACCCAACATCAATAACCAATTGCGTGCAGTAGTCCAGTATTTTCACGATCCGGGTATATAGCTGTATGATCTCCATGTCCAATAACTGTCTCAGGCAACTCAACCAATCCCCCTTCTTCGATCTACCAACTCCAAGTGGATAACGTTCCCCAGGCTCGGCCCGAGTACGGTACATCCTGAATCCCACGGGGCACATCAGAGACGGGATCGCCATTCCCTGATTATCATGATTGACACCGTCAGACGGGCCCCATGTTTCTGTTGCCACTTGTGCAGAGCGGAGTCGGCGATCAGGCTTCAAAGCACCTTTACCAACAACCGCGCCGTTTTCATGATGCACGTCTTCACATGCGTAGGTTAGCTTCAGCGGGTCTTTCTCTGGTCAATGGGTAGGTAAATATGATGCTTCGCGTTTAGCAATATCTCATGCATAACATGCGACACCGGTACTTTGTCCTCGACGGTATATTATGCTGCGTGGTATTCTCCAATCCAGCTTTGTGCTCAAGAACTAATCATCTACTCACGAGAGCTTCATCGATGTCATGGTCGACCCCGACAGCCACAGTCGGAAATTGATAGAAAACTTCATCTCCCCAAGAGAGCCGGTTTGGGGGCGGGGGAGAGAATCGACTTGCGTGGCTGTCGCCGGATGTAAGGTACATACTTGCATTCACTGTGCGGGAAGTAGAACCAAGCTTTGTGGGATGTTGGCCACCTGCAAGTAGGGCTTACCTACCGTCCGCTGCCTCCCGGGAAGCGAGGGGCTAAGGGTTGGCATGTCGGGTTCTACTGTACGTAACATCCGGCACGGTATAAGCTTGAGGGGGCTGGCGACTTGTACCTGCGGGAATTGGAGAGTTCCATTTCTGCCTTGCGTCTTTTGGTTGCATGCATGTAGGTATGCGAGTTGTTGTATTTGATGGATGGAGTTTGAGGGTAGAGAAGGGTTCTCAGTGAAAGAATGCGTGGTAAGTATATTTATTCCTATTAAAGTGTCCCAAAGACTGTCTTGGGCATTAATTCTTCGTTATATATGTATGTATGGAGATGAAAGGAATATCTCTCAACAGATCCAAACCCAAACAAACTCAATCCCATGGCGAAAAGTCTTCACCGCCCGACATATTTCAGTTCGAGCCATCTCAGTGGGATGAAGGAGATGGTGGTGAAGACCAGCGCCAGCTCGTTGGCGATATCACCGCCGTCCTCGCCGATCAGCTTCGCCAGGGCGCCGATGTAGTAGGTCTCATCCATGCCGACGATCCAGCCCGCGGCGCCGCAGAGGAAGGAGGTCAGGCCGGCGAAGCCAATGGGCATCCGGGAGGGGGTGTCCCAGGCGTCGAGGTCGTAGTTGGCCAGGTTGCCGCCGCGGAAGAGGTAGTGTTCGCAGAACAGGATGACGAAGAAAGACGTGTTCCAGTAGCCCAGCAGCGAGAGGAAGTTGTTGAGCACAGTCAGCAGGTGGTCGCGACCGGCGATGCCGATGGCGATGATGCAGCCGAAGACGACCACCGTCCAGATGGTGCGGGGCACCTTTCGGAAGGGCGGGGCGAACAGTTGCGCGCTGATGGACGCAGCGTATATGTTGATGCAATTCATACCGACTGGAATGGAATCAGTATTAGGGTATTTTCTGGTGCATGTGATGGAGAAAGCTTACCATTCGCCAGCACCATCAGGACCAAGCAGAACTTCGCAAACTTCTTGGGATGAATAAGCTCCTGCAGCATGTAGCCGATACCGCCGTCATAGGCAGCGGCCCATTCCTCGTTTGTGTCCAGCGCCGAGGCAATGCATGCGCCCAGCAGCAGGCCAATGCAGGTCGGCAGGGAAATACCCAGGCTGGTGAAGAAGAAAACCTTGACCCGGGAGGTGTTGACCGGGTAGTGCACGTAGAAGTCGGATACGATGGAAGACCAGGAGGCACTGGATCCGTAGATGACACTGATCAGACTCAGGACTTGTCCGGACTTGGTCAATCCGGAGACTGTAGCGGGTTGAGCGAGGTTGGCATGGTTGCCCGACTGCCCATAGACGATCATGAAGATGATGAAGGCGATCAGCCACATCCACTGCTCGAGGCTCATCACCACTTTCAACCCGAAGAAGACGATGGCCAGACTGAGGCAGGCCACAATGATGACTCCCACGACGATCGAGATGTTGCCATCTGCGACGGCGACGAGAGCCTGGCCGGCGGTGATACAACTGACAGAGGACCAGCCTAGCTGTTCGATCACGTTCAGCGCGGCGATGATGGACGATGGGTAGAATCCCAGAGAGTATCTCGAGATGGCGACCTGGCGAAGACCAGTACCGGGACCCAAGGTAGCACACCAGCCCTATTGGAGAAAGACGTAAGCACTCTTGACTGCCTATCAAGAGAATGGTTTGCGAACCGTGATTGCCCCGCCCAGAAGTGTCGCGCAGATGATGATGGGGATGACCTGCCCCAAGCTGAGGCCAAACTCCCACCCCAGGAAACCCGTACTGAAACAGCTGAGGTTCATGGTCGCCGACGCCCAGATCAGGCCCATGGCCAGAGTGTTGGGAGGCTGCTTCTTCTCCGGCGTCACTCGCTCGATACTGTTGGACTCGATCCCCAACTTCTTATCCAACAGAGCCTCATAGTAAAGGATCTTAGGGAAGAACCCCGCGGGTTTCACCAGGGATTGCTCCTCCACCTCAGCTGTTGACAGCTTCGGCTCGACCTTGTGGCCCTCTTCCAGTGTGGGGTACTCCATCTTTTGGAGGCTTCTTCTTGCTGCTTGCTGCTTGCTGCTGCTTGGGGGACAGTTCGATCGCTCGCAGCAAGAGGAAGAAGGAAAGAAACTTTTTTTTTCTTCCCCAGAAAAATGCCAGGGCGTTATTTATACGTAGCACGGCTTATTCCGAAAAATTAATAAGAGAAACTGGTGTATGGCTTTCGGAGAGTCCCAAAAACTGCAGGCGGCGCTAGCCGAGGAATGGATGGGACTGTTTCGGGCTGCTTGGTTCGAGTCGGGACCTCCCAGGCACGCTTTATCTTCGCCTTCCAGAATCTATGGAATGTTATTTGTGGGACACGGGTTTTTCTCTTATCAGTTGGCGATAGTAGTAATTGCCCCCCCTCAGTCTAACCTCAAACCAGCAGAACCGCGGATCTCATGATAATTCTTAGGTGATAAGAAGAGATTCCGCCGGCTAAAATCTGTTGGACTTCCCGAGTCTAGGGTTGGGCAGCACGTGGCAAGATACCCTTCTTGTCTTGTTTGGTTCATGATGAAGCTGTCAAACCAGAGAGAAAAAATTTGAACAGTCAATCTTTGTCAATAATCAGTGCAGTGGCAGGCAGAGACAGTCTACCTGTCTGGGTTAAGGTTGCGATCCACATCGGCCCATGTGTCTCTCTGCAGCACGCTGGGAGCGAGTGGGTCGAGAAGTTTTCGACCTCGGTGTCCTTATAGAGCACCACCAGAACTCTGAATAGCGTTCAGTCTACTGTCAGCCTGTCTGATTTGTACCCTCTCCGCAAACATGCGTTCAAGAAGAGCATTGTGGTAGATAATCGTATCTACAGGAAGATCCTTTCGCGGCGGAAGGCAAATAGAGAGGAGGGGGAGCGGGAAAAAAAAAGTGCAACCTTATGATAAGCTTGTCTTGGCAGAAACTCCCGCAGTGACCCTCTGCTTGAGTGGCGATTGTCCAATCGCGCCCAGGCGATATCTGTCTCGGACTCTGGGTCAAACCCCGGCGGCCTATCGGACATCCCGTTCAATCTCACCTACAACAGAACTTGAGAGGATCTTGGCAGCAGCCATAGGATATGCTGTGACGCATGTCTGCATGAATCTTTCAAACAAAGGAATGGGAGCTGGGGGTAAATGGTGGTCGTTATCAACTACACTTCACCGGTGCGGAAGTAATGGCCGCCATATGAAAAGGCCATGCGCCGCATCCGAGACTGACACTCGAGGCCTATACCCTAAACCTCAACAGTGCAAGTATTAGTCACGACTGTTTTGATGATATGATTCGGTTGAAGCAGAGAATCTCTTCCGCCTCCAACTCTCTCCGCTTTCTGATTAAAAAAAAAACAAAACAGCTTTGTGAGCTCACGTTCTGTGGGGTGTTGCTGACTACAGTAACGTCAGTGGCCGGACTCGAGCAAGACGGTGGATGTGTCAGCTTCTGGCTCTCATTCGTCCCTCTCAGCCTCATTCAGCATGGAAGTCGAAGTCAGTCGGCCGTCAATAGAACTGGATCTGAACAGCCTTCCGGATGAGAAGAGTATAACAGCTGAAGATCAGCAACAGGTCATTCAGAGGAACGAAAAAAAAGAAAAAAAAAAGCAAAACAGAAAAACAAATGGCCTCGTGCAGCTCAAGGCTTGAATGCTGCTCAACAATGAACTGTGCTGTTTTAGATCCAATTGAGAGAACGTCAGTCATCGCCATGATGCATAGCAGAGACAGCAGTGAAAGAAAAGAGCAGCAGCAAGAGAGGTAGACGGTTAAGTTAACTAAGTGGTTAAGGCGGCTCTGGGCGGTGGCACTCCAGACCATCGCCCAAAGAGGAATAATGACTCCTGCAAGCACCTGCTTTCCCCCCGGGCAGTTGTCTGTCCTCTTCCCGAACGTCCACCTCTTCTTTCATTCCCTTCTTTTCCCTTTACCTTTTCCTTTACCTCTACCTCTTTTCATCTTATCCTCACCACCCTCATCTTTACCTCCTACCTTGTCATTGTGTCAATTCGTTGACCTTCTCTCCCTCCTCTCCCTCTCTCATTCACCTCTCCTCCTCTTCCTCTCCCCTCTCCTAATTCCTCTTCTTCCCCCACTCTGAGAGCATCCTACTCTTCTTCCACCGCCTTCCCACCTCCCACTTTTTCCGAGCTCCTTCTTCCCCCCTCATTTTCAGTCCTGGGATGCAATAGCGCCTGCGATCTCGACTTTATTCATCGTTTCTACAGCCCTTAGCCTCAGCAGATAGCAATTGACTTTGTTCGCTTTTCAACTGCTCCTTTTTTGGCTCTTGCATTTAGGGATCGGTGTGATCAAAACAATCAGTCCTTTCCATTCCCCGCTACTCGACATCCAATTATAATTACACGGACGCCTGCGTTTAGCTGGTATATTGCGCCCCTCTCTCCATTGGTTCCCCCCTCCCAATTCTAACGTCATTGTCTGCTAGTGTCCGTCTGTATTCTGTTCTCGGCCCAATCGTCTAACACTATCTGCGGTTCAATTCGTCCCATCCCGGTCTGTCCTGCTACAATGGCTTCCGAAGCAGTCGCAGTCGATGTCAACGGTGGCACCAAGTCCCGGGCCGCTATGTTGGAGGAGCAGCACGCTCGCGATGAGGCACACAAAGTGACCGTGGAGGATGTAGTGGATGAGGAGGATCTCAAGCACCCTCCCCCATCCTCGGTGGTCGAGGCCTCGGGCGACTCCAATGTTTCCTCTCAGCCTGCGACTCCTTCCATCCCCAAGGCAGCCCCCAAGAAGGCCCCTGCTTTCGACGTGCAGTCGGAGGAATTGTTCCCCGCTCTTGGAAGTGGACCCAAACCCAAGGCCCCCGCCGTCTCAGCCTGGGGTGCTCGCGGCCCTTCCGCTGCTGCTGTCGCTAACGGCGCCAGTGGTGCACAAGCAGGTATGTGTACAGTGGTCAGTCACATATAAACCCCCGATCACTGCGGCTGACACAGGGGGGTTGGAATTAGCTTCGGATGTCCCGAGAATCATGAGTCTGCCTGGAAAGCACATGGAGCAGCTTCGGCTAGCACCATCCCAGATGCTTCCCCGCGGCCAGATGAAGAAGCCTCTGCGCGACATTCTGCGCGACATCTCTCGGCGCTCCAAGGCGAACGTTGATATGCGCGGTGGACCGGGAGGCTCCATCATTTTCGAGGGTAAGGGCTCCGCAGATGCCGTCAGACAGGCGCTGAAGGAGGTCGCGCAGCAAGTTGGATCTAAGGTATGTCAATGACACTGTCCATCGACGCATGGATGACTTACATCTCCGTCTAGCAATCCGTCCGCGTTCCCATCCCCACATCCGCCCGCCCTCACATCATTGGTCGCCAAGGCGCTGTTGTTCAAGACATTCAGCAACGCACAGGCGCGCGTGTTCAAGTCCCGCGTGCTGACGAGTCTGCCTCCGCAGACGATTTCGATGACGATGATACCATTGACGTGTTGATCGAAGGTGATGCTGTTGCCGCGGAAATGGCTCGTCGTGAGATCGAGGCTATTGTTCGTGAGAGAGCTTCCAACATGAGCTTGAGACTGAAGACTATTCCCCCCGAGTTCTTCCCTTTCATTGCAGGTGCTCACAACGCGCAGCTCCGGGAAATTGAGCAGCGCACAAAGGCACAAGTTCACGTCCCGCGGTACGACACCTGGCAGAGCCAGCCTCCCCCCCAGGAGGCTGACCCCGGTCATGTTCAGTTCGCGCCTGTTTCGGACAGACACATTCACATCTCTGGTGAGCGCACTGCGGCTCAGGAAGCTCGCGCTGAGATTGAGAGGCTCGCTGCCGAGCTGCAGCGCCAGCTGACACTGCGCCAACTCGCCATCAATCGCGGCCAACATCAATTCATTCTCGGGGACAATGCCGATGCTTTGCATGAGTTCCTTGCTGACACTGGCTGCGCCATTGTTCTGCCTCCCGATTCCGATGATAGCGAGTTCCTTGCTATCACGGGACCTGTTGACTGCATCGAGAATGGTATCAACCGGGCCATGGATCTCGCCACGAGCATGCAAATGGCGAGCATTGACCTCTCCCGTCAACACCCCAATGCGCCTGCTGGACCTCATGCCCATGCTCGTGCCTTGACTCGCTACCTCAGACAGCGCCAGATCATTAAGGAGTTGGAGAATTTGTATGACGCTCGCATTGCGCTCCCGCCTAGCTCTAACGGTCCGGTTACCTGGGAAGTCTACTCCCGGGACGGCAAGAACACCATTCGTGCGCGATCCGATATCATGAATCTCGTCCAAGCACACCCCCCGACCAGAATCCGTGCCGTCAATGTTGATCCTTACTATCACCCCTACCTGGAGTCTCGCACCATCCCTAAGCTTCAAAACGACTACGGTGTTCACCTCCTGGTGCCCGAAGACCTTGATAGCTCGGATGTGTTCATGGTTTACGAGGGCCCTTCGTCTAACGCTGGCCAGTTCGAGATCCCAAGGCAAAGACCTTCCCCCGCAGAAGTTGCCACTTTCGAAAAGGTCCTCCAAGAAGCTCAGGACTACCTTCTGAGCGCTCTTGGTGACCAGAAGGAAGTCGTGGCGAAGACCATCAACGTGCCAAGCAAGTACCAAGACAAGGCCCGGAAATTCATTGCCCGCGAACAGCAGTCTAAGGGCGAGGATGAGATCCCCGTCCGGGCCATTGTCAGTGAAGGATCCAGCCGCACTGAGACCGAGGTTGCGCTTCGTGGTCCTTCCCGCCTCGTGGAAGACTTGATCTCCAAGATCCAGGAGTTTGTTGTGGAGCAGGAGAAGGATGACCTTGAGAGAGGCTACACTACGACTTTTGACTTCCCCCAGAAGTTCGCTAACTTCCTTATTGGCAAGAAGGGCGAGAACATCAACAAGCTGCGTGACGAGTTCGATGTGGATATCAAGGTCGAGAACGGCAAGGTTGAAGTTAAGGGGCCCAAGGCGAAGGCCGATGCTGCCAAGAGCCGCATCATCAACCTTGGAAAGAAATTGGAGGATGAGACGACTCACACCCTGAAGATTCCCGCCCAATATCACCGTGAGCTGATCGGCCAGAAGGGTAGCCAGGTGAACAGACTCCAGGACCGTTACTCTGTCCGTGTTCAGTTCCCCCGAGCTGCCAGCGACGACCAGGAGACTTCCAGCGAAGCTGGCGGCTCTCGCCCCAACCGGTCTCAGCAGGCTGCGGACGAAGTCATCATCAAGGGTCCCAGCAAGGGTGCCGACTCGGCACGGGATGAGATCCTGAGTCTGTTGCAGTGGGTCGTCGACCACTCCCACACCGCGACTGTGTCGGTGGCCCAGGCCCAGATCCCCTCTCTGATCGGGCAGCGCGGTCGCGAGATGGACAAGCTTCGCGCCGATACCGGTGCCCAGATCGATGTTCCGGGCGCCAACGATGCACCGGATGAGTCGGGCCGCGTGCAGATCAAGATCCGGGGTACCAAGCAGCAGGTCGAAGAGGCCAAGAAAACCTTGCTTCAACGATCCGGCGAGTTCGATTCCATCGTCACCAAGACCATCGACGTGGACAAGAAGTACCACAAGTCCCTTATTGGCAGTGGCGGTAAGTTTGTTCCGCAATGCTAGTCGACGCATTTTGCTAATCAGTAAACAGGTGCCAACATCCGTAAGATCGTTGCTGATGCTGGCGGTCCCACTGACGGCAGTGCTTCTCGGCTGGTCAAGTTCCCCCGTCCGGAGAGTGCTGAGTCGACCATCAAGCTGGAAGGAAACGAACAGGTTGTTGACAAGATCATCGCTGCCATCGAAGAACTCGTCAAGGAGCGCGCGGATCAGGTGACTGTGACTCTCGACGTTCCCACGCTTCAACACCGTCTTCTGATTGGCCGCGGTGGTGATACCCGCCGCAACATCGAATCGAAGTTCAACATCACCCTGGACATCCCCAAGCAGGGCTCTGGCCGCACCGAGATCAAGCTCAAGGGACCCAGCCAAGCCGTTGCCGAAGCCAAGGAGCACATTGACGGTATGCTCAAGGATCAGCAGGGTGAGACGGTTGAAGTGCCCCGCCACCTGCACCATGTGATTGCCGACAATGGCTCGTTCTTCCGCCGTCTCCGTAACGATTACCGTGTCACCGTCGATCACGCTGGCCAACAGGTGCCTGCCAAGCCCGTCTCGGAGGACTCGCGCGGCGAGGTCAATGGAGCCTCGTCGCTGCCGCTGATCACGGATGAGCCCACCGATGCCGCCGAGGTCCACTCGTGGAAGGTGGTCGACAACAGCCCTGCGCCCGCCGACCCGTCCGAACCTGCTACCATTCCGTGGGTGCTCGCCGGTACCAGCGACAACGTTGCCAAGGCCAAGTCGGCTCTGGAGAAGGCCATTGCCAACGCCTCCCAACAGTCTGCCACCGGTTACCTGATCCTGCCCGACCCCAAGACGTACCGTTTCGTCGTCGGCCAGGGTGGCAGCCAGATCAACGCGATCCGCAAGCAAACGGGATGCCGGATCAACGTCCCCAAGGGCCAGGCCAAGGGCGAGGCGATCGAGATCAAGGGAAGCAAGGACGGTCTGGAGGAAGCCAAGGACATGATCCTGGAGGCAGTCCGCGCAGGCACGAGCGGTAACTCCCGGTAAATGGCTTGACGACGAAATCCTGAGCGCAAGAATGCCAGGCGTGATCTCGCTTAGGACAAGGTTTTGGAAATAATCAGGACGCTCTCTCTTTTTTTTCTGGCCTCCCCCTCTCATGGCCTCAGCATCATCAAACATTCCACCTACCTACGATTACCATTACTTTTTTTTTTACTTTACAGTTCTATACTTGTGTTGTTATGTTTATAAAAAGAAGAAGACTGTTACGATCCGAGATCCCATGAGCATTTTTTTTTTTGGCAAGCAGGCAGCGGTTGGATTGTCTTTTTGTACTTCTCTGCCATGATTTATGCATGAGCTAGCCCTATCTACTCTCATCTTACTCTACAACTCCCTCCGTCTAGTCGTACGTGGTTTTAGCGCAGTAAAGGGGGTAAAGCACCGCTTCCGACTTTAGGTGTCATCCTTCCGCGTAGTTGTTCACCAAGATAGACAGAATATCTGAGATTGCACACGGCCCCTATGGAACAAAACATGGTATAGAAATCAAGCGCCTTACCTCTTCCCTTTCACCTCCCAACCAGAGCTTCTCCTAGAACCCTTTCGATCTCTCTCAAACCAGCGCATACATCTCCATTCCCTTCCACATGCACTTCCACAACCCTGGACCCTCCAAATCAACCCTCATCACCCATCTAATAGCAAAACCGGCACAAAAAAAAAAGACCAGCAAAAAAAGGTAGGGAATCTTCTTTGAAAGACGTGACGCAACAAAGAAATTAAGAATATACGGTATGGATTTTTCGCACACACATCAAATAACAAACCAGCAAGTAAAAGCCCAACACATAAAAAAAAAACCCCCCCCGGCAAAACGTCTACTGCTCCGACGCAAGCGACGCCTTCTGCAGATATTGGTACGCGCCGTAGGCGATCAGTCCGCCGACGATGAGGAAGGCGTACAGGCCGACGCCCAGGCCGGCGGCGTCGCCGGAGGCACCCGCGGCGGCGGAGGGGTTGGCGTGCGAGCGGGGGGCGGGGTCACCGGGCTTTTCGGGCGGGTCAGCATGAGGGACTGTGTTTTTTGGGGAGAGGTTGGGTTTGAAGGGGAAGGGGGCGGCGGGCAAACGTACCATGCGCTTCACGTTCCCGACGAAGAGACCGTCCAGGATCTCCCGGGCTTCGTCGCTGTGGCCGACGTCCTCGAAGGCTTCGGTGCCGTCTTGGCCGGCGACGTCGAGGAGGACTTCTTCGCCTCCGCTGTTTTGTTCATGCATCAATTGGTGCTCGGTGTGAATGATGGGATTTTAGAGGAGGGGCCACGTACGGGTGCTCGTCAACGAAGGAGGAGCAGTCGTAGACCTTGTCGTGGATGACCATGTACAGGTCCTTCTTGGTGTTGTGGCCGGTGACTTCGGCGAGAGTGAATTCCTTGACGTTGGACATTTTGGATGTGTTTTTTTAGGCTGTTGTGAGGGAGAGACGAGGTGGGTTAGTTTGGTTTGGTTTATTGGAAGGTTGGAGGTGCGGTGGTTGGTGAGATGTGGGTGGTGAGGATTTGGGGGGCAAGGCAGCCTGGGTGGGGGATTGGGGACGTGGTGATGGTGTGGGAAGAAGTGGTGTTCGCGCGATGTGCTTGGTTGGAGTACAGATCTCCAGATACACCCGTGGGCTTGTATCACTTTGGAATGCGCTGCTCTGGGGGTATCGGGGTGAGGGTGGGAGTGGGCGTGAGGGTGGGAGAGATAGGGAGTGGGTAGCAGGGTGAGGAAACTCACCAGATAGAACAGAACTGAAGGGGATTGCGAACAGAGACAGGAAGCAGAAGCAGAAGGAGCACTGACGGAGAGAGAGAGGGGAAGAAGAAGAAGAAGAAGAAGAAGAAGACTAAGCGGAGAGCGAAGAGGAGAAGGGAAGATAGGAAGAGAGAGAGCGAGAGAGCGAGAGAGACGGAGAGATAGTCAAGTCAATAAGAAGAAGAATAATAATCAATCAGTCCGGCCCAGCATTCGGAGTCGATCAATTCGCCCCGGGCCAGCCTGAGGCAGCCACCTTTGACCCAGACCCAACCCAACCCAACCCACTTCGCATTCCCGGGGAGCACTCCCGGACTCAGCTTTAGCCTTTGGAGCTACCAGTCTTCTATTACCGAGCTTCAATCTCCTGTCTTTTGACGGTTCATCTTGCTTGTGAACAAGTGAGTCTGCTTGCTACTTGCTTTCCTCTGCTGAGTTCCGTTCCGCAATCCCAACATCTTCCCGATTGGGCCATCTGGAAAAGTGGCCTGATAGGGATTGGTCCGTCTACGCCAATCACCGCACGCTTATTCCCGTCTTAGTCAGAGCATACGGCGCACTATCCCGCATCAGGCAAACTTTGCCTGCGGTGCCGAAAAAAAAAGGTTCAAAAAAAGAACAACAAAAAGGACGACGAAATACGTTAGGTTGCAGCAAGGTGTGTGTGTGTGTGTGTGTGTGTGTGTATAAGGAGAAACCTGTAGTGACCAGAGTCAGTCTATGTATGTATGTATGTACTGTACGGTACCTTTTGTTCAGTTGTCAATCGTCGGTGAGGAATAGACCCTGAGCATGGGGGATATCCGGGAATAGGATTACTGGGTAAGGATGCTGATCACCTCACGAACAGTACGCTCACAGTAAGTCGAGTTAGTGTGTTCGGTGTCGGAGATGAATCTCCACCACCTTATCTGACAGCCTGATTGTATACACCCGGTTGATAACTACAGACAGACAGTACATGTCCCACCACCGACTCTTTTAAACGCATCACTATGCATCACCACGTAAATATGAAATACCAAGATTACTAGATAAGCAAATGCATACATAAAGAGACAGATAGATAAACCACTCCAAACCACCGCCCTGAGTACCCAGTCCAGTCCAAGACAAAAGACCCAAACAATTCCCGACCTGAAGGGCCTCCCCGCGCTCGATAGCCGTTAACCGTAACCTCGGGGAAAGATCGCCCCAGTTGGCCAGTTGCCCGCCACCCCCGGGAAGCCCCATCGGGACTTTTCCCTTCCCTCGCGCTGAATGACGGATTTCAAGGCCAGTCAGCCTTCCAGAGCGGAAATTCGGAGCCAGGGGCGGAATTCCCTACTTCTTTCGGTGAGGGTAACTGGGGTGTCGAAGGTTCGAAGGTTCGAAGGTTCGATGGTCTTCCATGGATTCGACGTCGTCGACGCCCATAGAACCTGAATACGACGTATGAGTACGAGTACAGGACAGCTCGGGCGCATTATCGTCCACCGGTGTAGTGAGTGCGACGGACTTACAATGTCGGAGCTGGGGCCCTATGACAGAAAGAACCCTTTTGTGAATACCGACGCAGTAGTTAGCGTTTGCAAAGTCCGTCGAGAGAGTCCGGCGCACTAGGATTCTTCTGAGCCCGTCGGAGCTGACGGCATCACTCCCGGGGAGTTCTATAAGTAAGTTACTTGGTGACTACTAGTCACTTCCTGCGTGCATTTGCTTATTCCAAACGAAGTACTCCGGAAAAGTAGTCAATCCATTCATTCCCGCTGAACACACAACGCTACCTATTCAACATCCATGCATCCATGCTATAAACCAGATCTAAACTCGGAAGGGGCTAAATCACAAGAGACGAAGTCGAGCATTAACATAAAAAAAAAAACAAGGTATAAGATCTCGTCACATGCTCACATCCCGTCGTCATGCAGTCGTGTCTTCGCCGGAAAACATTCCAGTCAACGCAAAGCAAAGAAGAAAACAAAATATGCAGGCAATAGTGGCAATTATATCATGCCAATCGGATTCGGTGGTTTGGCGTCGATCCAGCCCGCTCACGGGATGGTACTGTAACACAAGTTCCAGCCGATTGAAAATGAAATCGCTTGAATGTGAGTATCTTCAAGAAAAAAGAAAAGACGATGCCCGGCGGAGCCCTCATTTCGCAGGCACCCGCTCATAGAATACAATGTAAGCTTGCTCGTTCTGCAACCGCTCCTTCGGTCGCAGATCCCGCGGGTTGAAATCGGTCACCCGCTCGTCATCGAACTTGCGCCAGCATTGTCGCTGCGCATCTCGCACCAGAGAGATGTAGTGTCCGCTGCTCATCGAGGACCCAAGATGTCGCAGCACGCCGTATGCGTCATACGTGAAGGGAGGGGCGGTTGCGATCGTCGTCTCCGAGGGTGCGGTCGCCGAATGACCGTTCGGAACGGGCGTCGGAGTCGACTGCGAGAACACGAAGTCGTCCATCCGCAGCCCATGCAGCGGGAAATCAATCGGCGTATGGATCTTCCGCGCGCTCTGCGTCTTCGACGCCGAGAACCGCTTAAAGTGAATCACCAGGATCTGAGGCGCCCGCGTGATGATGATCTGTTTGGTCGCAACCCGCTCACACTTGCAGTACGGGCATTTCCACACCTCGTCGCCGCTCAGCATTTCCTCCTGGCAGTAACTACGAAGGCATTGGTAGATGTCTCCCGTTCCAGACGGAGGAATCTCCACGCTGATACTATAAAAGGCTTCGTACGTGGTGGACGTCCGTTTGCAGGTGGTGCAACGCAGTCGACTCGCATGTTGCCCGGCGAAGAGTGAGGAGATGAAGGACTCCTCGCGATGACAATACCGATCCCACTCAATTTTGGAGACCTTCGGGACCGGCATCCGCTCCCGCTGCATCTCCTCTTCAAATGTCAGGGGGCGAAGCTGGTTGCGCTGCCAATTGATGTTGAGGTCCTCGTGCAGGCAATCCACAACAAAGTCGAAGAACTCCTTGGCATCTTGCTGGCGATCGATTGCCCACTCTTGATTCAACCGCCCGCAGAAGTTTCGAAATGAGGTGGGCATGATTACCTCAACATCATTCTTCCACAACGACCGGATCAGGTTCGCAAAAAGCCCCGGCATGACGCCCTGGGACCCTTTCCAATTCTTCTGGACATAGTACCGAAACCGATTATCGATAAAGAACTTGCTCAGCAGTAAGGTCGCACTGAGACATTGGAGAGTCGAATTCATGTAGCAGGTCACCCCGAAATTGGTCAACCCAGTGCGAGGAAGTTTGAGCCGGCTCAGCATCGATAAAGGGGTGTAGAGGGCCGTTTTCGTGGCCGAGCTCTGCCGCTCCAGGGTAGGTTGAATATGCCGGCCGTCCGATACGCCGCTATAGCTAGGCCGTGGAACTGCCGGGGGCGGCCGCGAGGGAGCGACAGGCACAGGCGCAGCATAATTCGGTGCAGCAGTGCCCGCCGGTCGTATGTGTGGTGCCACCATTGACTGCTGAATCGCGCCTGGTTCGGGGAAGCGCCGCAGGAAATCTTCATAATTTTGAACAAAGGGCGAGGCAGGGGCCTCCTCCTCTCCAGCAGGCTCCTCCGTCATTGCTTCTTCATCCTCTTCGACATATGTACTGGCATCGATTTCCTCCGTCTTGGACTTCTCCATCCACTCCGTGAGCTCTTGGTTATTCAGTGGTTTGTACTCGCGCAGTCGTCGTTTCCTGACCTCTAAGCTAGAGTTAGCGCTGACCATCGTCGGCACTCTTCCAAGCGGTCGCCCAGGCCTTCGCAGTGGTCGCTTGGCCTGCAAGGATCCCATCACAGCAGCGGTGGAGGATGTGGCAAGTGATTGCTGGCCTAGGAGATCAATCCATGCGTCGAGGCCGCCTAGAAGTAATGCCGGTGGTCGACCGTCCTTCAAGGGTTTATAGGCATTGAACTCGTAAAGCGTATCGTAGAGCGCTCGGAGATGAGGCGCTGTCGTGCCAACCGGAGAGCCAGCAAGATAACTGACCGATGATGTTTTCTGGTCGTAGTACACAACCATGTCAAATTCATTCCGGCGTTCGAATAATGACTGCTCATACTCCGGCGACACCACAAGACGCTCCTCCAACTCTTCAGCGGATACGTTCTCCTTCAACACCACCGGCTCAACACATATAATTGAAGAAGCATATATATGCCCACTATCATACTGCTCCCGAGATCGCACATCGATTAGCAGAATGTTATATTTGCGAAGATAATCTATTAATTCTGTCGGAGTGATCGTGGTGTTGTGCGGGAGGTCAGCACTGCCGCTTCGGATCTCCTGTACTTGATGAACACCATTTGGGGTTCTGGATCGGTACGGATTATCATCGAACCCATTCCGGCTCGGGCTCCCGTGAGATGAATTCGCGAGCTGAGAATACCGTGGGTTGACTGGACGAGAGCTTTCCGTCGAGGTCCGCGGCGGGTTTGAGGGTCCCTGTGATGGCACCGACCAAATAGGACTATAGGCTGGGTCGGGTGCCCGTGGAAGGAATGTGTTCAGAGGAACCTTTGGGGGAAGAGCAGGAACCCCATGGGGGGATCCCATGCTACGAGGCCCTAAGGGACGTCTTGTCGGAGAACTCAAAACGGAGTTCTGTGGTGACGCTTGAGCCGAAGTTTGCGACGGATTGACTTGCGGCGCGGACTGTAACAGATTGTTCGTCCCATTTTGTGTGGTTTCTATTACAGTGCTGTCAGGGGGTGACATCCTCAGCTTTGCAAATCTCTGTGCGAGTGCATCAGTTGGAGGACTCGAGTATCGATTCTGCTTTGTCTGTAGCTCAAAATCTTGTTGGTGGTGTGACAAAATCGGCATCTGCGTCGAGTTGCTCACTGAAGAGGCAGCACTACTCAGAATCTCTGACTTTGGCCGGTTTGAGTGTGAATGAGGTGGTCCAACCGGTTGCACGTTTGTCATTAGATTGTTCTCCACGATCTGTTGTTTTATATCATCCATCGTCCCTTGTTTCGTCCGTACAGCCTATCACAATTAATTAGTCCCAGATTTGATAGTCCAAGAGCTTATAGAAGGTTCCCCGCGTGGATATGCGACTACCTACCATCATCAAATCGGCAAATCTCTTGAACCATGCCGGCCTCTGGCTGGCTGTCGCACGATAGTCAGGGTGGTGGGGAATAATGTTGATGGTGATTTCGGAGGCACGAAGGTACTGCACATAGGCTCGATCCAGTTGATCGCTGTCGGAAAGCTCCCGGGCTTGATTTATGGCCACTTGCGCTCGCTCAAGCAAAACACTAAGCTAAAGGTCTCAATCAGTATCAACTGGTATATTACCGTGGCAAATGTCAAACATACAGAGGCATTCTCATTGACGTCCAAAGCTGCCGCCTCATCCTGTAGATCCTTTATGTTGGGAAACAGCGGCGGTTGGCTTGCCGAAGCGCTCTGATTGTTGCCGACTTGCTGCGATGCCAGTCCGACTGGCCGCCCGCTTGTCGGCATGACTCCGAGGGATCGAGGACGCCTGGCATTATCCCACGGTGCGAAATCCGGTGGAGAGGGAAAAGCCGCTGCATCTGAGGACATGATACAAGACGGCGATCGAGAGAAGGGAAGCTTCAGTACATGACCTGAAAATTGTCGGAGCTAAGGCGGGGATGGATCGGTAGTTGTTCGAAGATGGCTCGGAGCGGAAGCAGATCGGAGGGGTAACCACGACTCGACGGGGTATCCAAACGCGCGAAGACTGAAAGGACAGAGAGAGCCGTTAAAAGACAAGAAAAGAAGAGAATGATGCGCCAAAGACGAAGCCCGACGAAGAATGGAGGGAGGAAGAATGAACAGACAGGAGGAGAAGAGAGAGAGAGGAACGAGGTGGTCAAAGGCAGACGAATTGCGGGATGTTGTATGATGGTTATGATGGGGTGGGTGTATGTACAGTACGGTAATGGATGCGCAGGAATAATGCCCACCTCACCGCCTCACCGCCCCAGTTGGGCTATGACGCCACATGTTACGGGTACTTACCATTGTTTGCCTGGGACCTGGCCCCCGCTGACTCACCGCCCCCGCCAATGAGGACTGCCAACATGCTTTGTCCAATGGACGGTATCTACCAGTCCTAGACTAAGGGTAAGCTTGGTTACCTCCCATTTACCTTACTTACACTTCCCCCGACATTATCCCTCCATGCATTTGATCTGCCTGGAGCTCAGTGTCATGTCTCTATTGCTGCCTTGATCGCCCTTCCTTATCGATTACTTCTCATTTTGCGCAAAACCCCTTCCAAACTATTCTTCAAGTCTCACTTTCCACCTCCTTCTCCTGCCCACATCTGCTGCTGCCGCTTCTGCTGCTGCTGCCCAACGTCATAGCCATCTGGTACCTCCGTCGCCGTCCCCGGCAGATCGTCAATCGCGCACCATCACAACATGGCGGGGTGGTTCTCGTCAACTTCTTCACTCGATGATCAGGTCGAGAAGGCGACCGCCTCTTCTTTGTAAGTTATGGCTGTCCCCCTCAGTATGCTGCCTTGGCTGTCGGTCAATCACATGCTACGACTCACTGACACGCCAACAGGGAGGACATCGCTCTCAACCTCGAAATTTCCGACCTGATAAGATCAAAGAGCGTGCAACCGAAGGAGGCGATGAGATCATTGAAGAGGCGACTTGAGAACAAGAATCCGAACATCCAACTAGCGACCTTGAAAGTGAGTCGCAAGACGCCCACCCTTCTCACACTTTGCCCTGGCTCCAGCTTATAACTGACGGTGAAATGCATCGCAGCTGACAGACACGTGTGTGAAAAATGGCGGTACTCACTTTTTGGCGGAGATTGCATCCCGGGAGTTTATGGACAACCTTGTCTCCCTCCTCAAGACAGAGGGCGTCCCACTGAATGACGAAGTGAAGGCGAAGATGTTAGAATTGATACAAGACTGGGCCATGGCAGCTCAAGGCCGTATGGACCTGAGCTACGTTGGTGAGACTTATCGGAGGCTACAGGACGAGGGTTTCCGGTTTCCACCCAAGACTCAAATCAGCGGAAGCATGCTGGAAAGCAGTGCGGTGAGTTGGCCCTGGTACTGTGATCGCCACGGCGCCCTCGAACTGACATGATTGTTTCTGTCAAAGCCTCCAGAATGGATTGACTCCGATGTCTGTATGCGCTGTCGCACTGCCTTCAGCTTCATGAACCGCAAGCATCATTGTCGCAACTGCGGCAACGTCTTTGATGCACAATGCTCTAGCAAGACGCTTCCTCTGCCTCATCTCGGAATCCTTCAGCCTGTTCGGGTGGACGACGGGTGCTACGCCAAATTGACTTCAAAGGCCTTTTCAACTGCGGCACTATCCGATAGATCTGCATTCAAGAACAATTCAATCACCAAGTCTAGCGTCATGGAGCCTCGTGGGGGACGAGCGGAGAGCGGCTTTGATGACGATTTGCGTCGTGCTTTGCAAATGAGCTTAGAGGAGGCTCAAAATAAGGGCTCGAGCGGCTACGTCCCACAAAACAGGATCGTCCCGGAACCTCCTAAAGCCGTCAGTCAGCCCAGTGTAGAGGAAGAGGAAGATGCCGACCTTAAGGCTGCTATCGAGGCATCATTGCGGGACATGGAACAACACAAGCAGAAACACGCAGCCGCTCTCAAGAACGCCCCGGTTGCTGATACGTCGACTCATGCGGGCGCAGTGGTAGCGCCGATTCCCCAAAACCCCTATGAGCTTAGCCCTGTGGAAGTCGAAAACATCCATCTTTTCGCTGCTCTCGTTGACCGCCTGCAACACCAGCCCCCGGGCACTATCCTACGGGAGCCTCAGATTCAAGAACTATACGAGAGCATTGGAGCGCTCCGGCCCAAGTTGGCTAGAAGCTATGGAGAAACGATGAGCAAGCACGGTACGTATCTTGTTTGTTTTGGAAGATCTGTCGCGGTAGCTAACGAGTCGCGGGCGTAGATACTCTGTTGGACCTCCATGCCAAGCTATCGACGGTCGTTCGCTACTATGACCGCATGCTAGAGGAACGTCTTTCTAGCGCCTACGCTCAGCATAACCTGGGTTATGGGGGGGTCCCTGGCGGATCCCCATACCCCAATATTTACCCCTCGATGCCCGCTCCCTCAATGGAGGCGAAGTCAGGCACCGAGAACTATTATTATGGGAATCCCAATGTAGCCGAAAGCTTCCAGCCTTCCGGCACACCCTACTCGCAGCCTACGTCAGAGAGAGAACGCGCCAGAACCATGAGCCCGAGTTTATACCCACAGCCCTCTCAAACTATGCCACCTAACGCGCCGTGGAATGGCAATCCCCATGCGGTGGCATCACCTCACATGGGCAGCGCCAGTGCGGCACCTCCCAACAATCCTTCGGCCTATGCGCCACCCACGCAATTTTATGCACCTCCACCGCACCCGGAACAAGACCCGAGTCCCTACCAGCAATCGCGGCATGGGGAGCCAGAGGCGCCTTATCAACCGTCGCCTGTGATGCGACATGACTCTCACTATCAACCGTCGGCCCCGAGCGCTCCGAGCGCCCCGGATCAATCACCCCCGGCAGACCCAGTGTCGGCCCCCGCTTACTCGCACTATCCTCCGGATCCTAATTCGATGCAACCTGGCGGTCAACCGGCAGCGCAGCAGCAGCAGCAGCAGCAGCCGCCGCCGTCGCAGCCCGCGGACCCGTCGGGATCATCGTTCTATAGTCAACACCAGCCTTCTCCCGGGCCTACAACTTTCGCAGGATACCCACACGGGGTCCCAACACATCCCAACCCACAAGGAGGAGAATATCCTTCTGGTGGTGTGCCTGGTGCGCATCCAGCATATCAACAAACAACACCGTCCCGGCCGCCCGTCGAGGAGAGTTTGATTGAGCTGTAGAGTGGACTGGGGGTGAATAGGGTGAGTGGTCAGTGCGGTGAGGAGCGGTCAAGCTGTGGTTTTGGAGGAGGGAAGAGGGACGATTCCTCGATAGGTGTTTATATTCTTGATGTTTTATGTAGGCTTTCGGCACAATGATACCAAATGGATTGGTTACTTTTGCAAGCCCCGAAATTGACTTGATGCTCTATCTATTTTTCCAATGAAGCCCAGGAAGAATAATTGTAGGCGAATGAGTAATATCAGAGAGTGGCGATGCTTTCGTGCTTTTCTTTTGCACAGGGCGAGGCCAACCGAATGCGGCCTGGTTTGCTGGTCTGGACTCTTTTTCCTCCTTCTTCTTGCTTCGGGAATCCTTCTTCAATTCTTCCACGTCTTCTCTTTCCTTCCAAGTTTCTTTTCTCCCCTCCCGCTCTTCTCCCTCCCTCCCTCTTCCTCTCCTTCTCCCCTCACCAAACGTTTGTCCCCCTCGTATCTAATTCCAACTCTCCCCTCCTTCCCCCATTCCTCCTGAAGTCACTTTTGCTCTGGGAATTCTGTTCTTCCTCTCTTTGTCTATTTCATCATTCTCTCTTTCTGTCATAGTCAACCAGCTCACTTCCCTGGTGCGTGTGGTGTAACCGCAGTCTGCGTCATTTGTGTCTCCCCCGCAATCGGCGGGAATCTGGACCGTCACCGATTTGTCTCTCCCCTTCGTCTCTCATTCTCTCCCATTTAACCTCCCCACAAAGCAACAAACAGAGTACCAGTACTTCTTCACCACAGCTCAAGGAACTAAACCCAACAGTACTTCTGCTGCTCACTGACCCGCCCAGTCGGATACCTACAATCTGCTGTATCACCTGGTGGATGCCTCCTCCAATCGCCGTTGAATCGGGGAAACTTCCCGGCTGCTGCTCGTCACCCGATCGGGGCCAGCCCTTCCTTGCTTAAGCCTTAAACGCCTCTTTTTTTTGTTTTTTGTTTTTTTTACCACAAGTACCAACTACGTACTTTCTCCTCTTCTGCCACGGCCGTCATGCCGACTTCCAATACTTCTTCCCCCGTCAAGCGCCCCGGACTGGGCCGTCGTGCGGTTTCCTCTCACGCCGTTGTCACGCGCACCCCTTCCAACCAAGGCGAGCTGTCTCAGTCCCAGTCCTCCAACACCACCCAGAAAGCCCCCTCAAGGCCCCATCGTCCCCATCTAGTTGGCGGGGGCCATCGCAACCATCACCGCAACCCCTCTTTCGGCAAAAATCTGCACAAGCTACAAAGACACCTCTCCAGCCAACAAATAGGCCCTGAAGCTTCTGCTCGCGTCCACCAGCGCAAGAAGTCCGCCCCTGCGACACCTGCCGCTAGCCCGCGCGGGCATCACGTTCGTTGGGATGGAGTTGCGGAGGATTCGCACCCCACAACAGGATCAATGAAGAAGAACAATTCGAGTCCGGCCCTCCGACGCAATACGTCAGTCGTCCTCGGAAAGAAAGCGCTGGTCACCGACCGTCCACATACGAGCTCCGGAAAGAAGAAAACTGTGGGATTCGAGTTGGCGGATTCCGACGACGAAGCTGATTGGGAAGATACAACGCAGTCGCCTGAAAGCACGAGACGCAGCTCGGTGGCACAATCCAGAGAGAGTGTGGACAATCCTGCTGTTCTGGTCGACCCCCTTACCTTCGTCAAGCGCTCTTACCCGCAATTTCCTCGAGCCACCAGCCTGCCAGAGTCAACGAGCAAGAGTTTCGGTGACGACAACTATTCGGACGAAGAAGACGACGGCCACGATCACGACCACGACCACGACCACGACGACGACGATACCGCACAGCAACGTCCGTCCGATTCTGACGAGACACCCGTCGAGACTACCCGCCCGAGTGAGACCGGCGTCATCGCATCACGGATTCTGGGTCCGTCTGTATCTGCCAAAGCACCACCGGCCATGTCTTCCATATCTGCGACCGTCAAGCCGACCGTGATGGATCAGTCTTCTCGCAATGCATCCCTCACCAACTTGGCGTCCGGCCATGACGGTTCCCGGCGACCGATGTCTTCGTCTATCACCACGTTGGCGAACACGCCTACCCATGCTACGTCCTCGTCCATCGAAGGCGGTGTCTCGAAATTCATCATCAACAACAAATCAACGACGAACTCATTCTCCCGTACAGATTCGGATCCGAACACTCCATCCTCTTTCCTCCCACACTATCATCCCCAAACCCCACCATCTCCAAATCGCGCGACTAGTACGAAAAAACCACGAGCGTCGCCGCCTTCGAGGCCCGCTGGCGCAGAACCCCATTCTCGCACGCAGCAAAAGCTGTGGTTACAACGCACTGCAGCATTGAACACATCACCGCCCGACGGCGTGTCCACCGCAGCCCCCCCCTCTGTCGTGGACCCGATCTTTACTGCACCCCACACCCTCCCGGGCACTGGGGCTTTCGAGCCGGGCAGGGGCCTTGTCAACGGATCCGCTCGAGCCAGTGGAACAGTACACGACAATGAAACCAAGCACGTTCGGAAAACATACGAGAAAACTACCCTGGAGTTGACCGTTGTCCGTCGATTCCAGTCTCCCACCGGCGACAGCTTCAGGCGCTTAAATGCCATTCTGAATGATTCACGCCTTGTGACTCCTAGCCTAGACCAACCTTCGTCGCTTGGCAAACCCATCAAATCTGCACCAGCTTTAACTCACCTTCGCGACAGCAAACGACAAGAAGGCAGCCAAGGCAGCGGCAGCCCCGAACCCAGACAATTAATCGGACGCAAGCATGCGGACATGCATACATCCGTCTCTCAGACCTACCTTCAAGAACCCGACGACCTCGTGAATGAGCCCACCGACCCGGCCGCCTCCGGTAGCAAATCCCAACATCCCTCTCACCGCGTTCTCTCCACATCCGATGAAGCCGCTCACCCCGACCCTGCTACCTCGGAAAGCGCTCCAGGCTCGGAAACATTAAACCAGCCCGACGAAACCGAGCTCATGATGCGTCGCATCTGGGAAAGTCGCGAAGTAGCGACAGCTGGCTAGTAAGGGACGAGCAGAAAGAACCCTTCTCTGTACAATTATCTTCTTTCACAATTCCCCTACCATATTTGTCCCATTGTGGGTACCATTCTTCTGTTAGCGATTCGATCAGCCTCCATATTCTATTTCGCGCGTGGACTTGCCTGCTTATGGTTCCATCTTGAGAATCCCAAGTTATTCACTCCATTAGCCTAATTCCCTGGAAGCCTTTTCCACTTCTTCAGCCTATTAACTAATTCTACACGCGATGATCTAATAGTTTCACTTGAATGCCTTCGAGGTTGTCTTCACCGCTTTGGACTCTGTATTTTTGATTATGATGAATGCCATCTTCATCCCAGAAATGTCATGGTTAGTATCTGGATCTGTATCGCTTCGGTTGATTGATTCCCCCCTGGTCCGTCTTAGTCATTTCTTCCAATTGGTTTGCTTTCTTTCCTCGAGTTCTGCTTCTTGGACCCCTGTTCCGATTGCCATAACTCCATCACCGCTATTGAGTTTGCGATAGCTATAGAAAAATATATCCTACTGCAATAGCTTCCTCTTCATTCCTATAGATTTTTGTTCTAAAGAATCCTTTTAATTCCTTTATCTAGATAAGGCGGTATCATATTCATACAAATTATGCAATACGTAATCCACACGTCGATTGGAGAAAGAGAAATAAAGGGGAGAAGAGATGAATATCATATCTTGTGTGTTGCAAGTAGTCTGTCTCTATTGCTATTATGTCATTGCGGAAGAAAAGGTTCCCTTCCCAGAACCGAAAGGCAAAAAAAAGTCTATTCGGAAAGCTCATGATGACATGAGGGGGTGTGAAGTTAATGACATACATCGTTGGGAGGTGGTACAGGCGGATGTTGTTTGTATATGTGTATGTAAATGTGAGTGTGTGAGATTCCATTTCACGCGGCGGCGGCCTTTTCCCGAGGTTTGCCGCGGCCACGAGAGCTGCCACCGCTACCACCACCTCTACCTCCGCCTCCACTCCCACCTCCACGTCGTGAACTACCGCTTCCACTGGATCCGCCGGCCGCAGCTCCTCGTCCATCGAAGTGATTCCCGTTCGAAATGGCCCGAGGTTGGGCGTCACGACGATGGGTCGGATGAGGATGATGGCCTTTCTGTGCGGAGGGAGTGGTAGTGGTGGTAGATTCATTACGCGAAGGTTGTGGTTGTGCGGACGAAGTAGATGCGTCTGCCGGACCAGCAGGGCCTTTTCCGCGCTTCTTCCGGTGCGGGAGCTGCTGCTGCTGCTGTGGTAGTGGTAGTGGCTGTTGACCTTGGTCTTTGCCCTGACCTTTTCCTTTTCCTTTGCCTCGCCCGCGATTTGACTGCGAGCTGCCCTTCTCTTCTTTGTCAGCGGACGGCGTCGTGTTCGTTGTGTCGGGGTCCGGGATGCCCTGGATGCGTCGGCTCTCTTTATCCCACCACGCTTGGAACTCTTGCTCGAGTTGGATGTCTTCCAGATTGTGTTTTGCGGTCGCTGCTTCGCGGATCTGGTCCTTCTCGGTTTGTTGTTGCATGAGGATCGTGGCGAGGGAGAATGAGCTGGAGGAAGGGGAGTGGAAACTCGTTTGGTATGGTTCGGGACGCGGGATGTGGCGGATGGACTGGATAGCCGGTTGGGGAGTGGCGAGGGGATTGGAGGAGGCTTGGTTTGGGGTGATGGGCGTCGAAGCTTGAGGTCGGGAGGGTGTTTGGACATGGACTGGTCCACCGCGGCCTGGGGTCTGCGCGGGGATGGAGCTGGGTTTCGTGCGGGCTGCAGGAGGTGTCCCGGCGACAGTTTGGCGGAGAGTCATGGAGGGTTTGGGAGACGGCTTCGTCGACTCTGCAGCAGGACTACTTAGCCCACTAGCTGTAGGAGCAGGCTTGCTCGATGTGGGCATTTTCCACGGGTTTTCAGGCGCCTCCTTTGTTTTTTGTTGAGCGGCAAGCATCTCCTGCATCTGCTGCTGCTGAATCTTCTTGC